AGTCGGAGAGATTTCGAGATGATTTCTTGATGGTAGGTGTTCTTTGAGCTTTGTTATTGGAGTTGACCTGTTTAAAGTAAATGTAGCCTATTAGTACGCTTTTTTCCTCGGGAATTCTTTATTTGCAGGATATTTTTTAAAGAGTTTTCTAATAAGACCTTCGTCAGCTTCAAATAGTTACTAGTGTAATTCTGATGTCGAGTGTAAATTGCTAACTAGAAATTTTCATATTTGTTTTAGGTGCGCCAATCAGATTCTGCCACTTTCTGATTCTATTGTTTTATTTTCTCTTTTCTTATGTGCAGGAATATAATGACACATTGTTAGTTAGTTACCTGGCCATGTTCACTAACTGCTCTAGGTATGATGTCTAATGCTTCTTGCACTAATGCTTTTGTTATTTGTAAAAGTAGTTTCTTACATTAACTCTTCTTCCATTTTTCTCCTTTTCATTTTTCATTGAAGAGGAACTATCCAAGATTATGTAGATAATAGGGCCAAAACTCAGATAAAAATGGTTTTTGCTGAAGTGTGATATATATATATATATATATATTATTATTATTATTATTATTATTATTATTATTATAAAAGCATGAATACAATGTCGGTTTACAAAAATAACCTTATAATATTAAGCATCATAACTCATAATAAAATGACACAACCGGAATTCTAGATATTAACCTTATAATCCTATTAGTTTTAGGACATAATACTACACGTTAGGAATCCTACATGATTATGAATCCTATTAGTATAATTACTTTCGGGATGTCTAATTCATATAAAATTGAACAAGTAAATATCTTTAATCATGTAATCCTATTACTATTAGGATATACTTCTTAAAAATTCCTATTACTAATTTAATTTAAAAACGTATTATAATGTCCTATTACTAATTTAATTTGAGAATGTATTATATTGTCCAAATTTATTTAGAAAAAGGAGAGCCTATATTATTATAAAAGTATAAATACAACATTAATGTACCAAAATAGCCCTAAAATATTAAGCGAAAGAACTCATAGGGAAAGGACATAACTGTAATAACTTATTTTTTGGACAACAATACCTTCTATGCTAATTTTTAATATTTGAACTTCTAAAATTAATAAAATTTTATCTATTAAATTCTTATTAAAAATATGTAGGGAAGTTGAATAAAATTAATTTCATAGGAATCCTCTGTATTGACAATACATTACCACTCTATAATGTCCAATACCAAGAAAAAATAATAATAATAATATTAAATGGATTGCATAAAGAGTTGAAATTGAGAAAAAGATACCCCACGTTAATATATTTTTATTTTATATTAAACTATTTTCCTACTCAAATAATATTTTTTTATTAATTTTTCGTGTATATTAAAAATACTCAATTATTAAACAACTAAGAAAATATTTAAGAATATAAATGTGTGATAAAGAGAAAAAAAATGATTGGTAAGATTCAATACAATTAGTGATTCTACAAATATAACGATCTAAAAGTGAAATGTCATATCAATGTTTTACTCTTTGAAAATAAAATTTATGGTGGATAAAATTATAATTAAGATTAAATATTCAAAACAAGAGACGAACTAATATTAATATCTGAATTAACATAAAATAAATTATTTTTATGTTAAAACCAAATAATTAAATTTTTAAAATAATTTTTTAGCAAGAGAATCCAATTCAATTATTTTTAAATTCATCATATGAGTAAAATTCTTATTCAAGTTTTAAAAAAAAAAAACTTAGGGCACATAAACTTATTCCATAAAAAGAGCGTTAGAACACAAAGTAAAAAGGATAGTATATTATTAAGAATCAAAATGCTATTCAAGTGTCTGAGGAAGCACAATCAAAGCTAAATCCTAACAAAAAACAAGCTTTCAAGACTATGAGGGTGTTTGGATTTGCTTATAAAAAGTAGCTTTTAAGCGAAAAGCCAAAAGCCATAAGTTGGTGAATCGACAAAGAATAATCTTGTTATACCAGAGTCGATTCTTTATAATATAAAGGGTGTTTGGATTGGCTTATTTTAAGTGCTTATTGGCATTTAAGCACTTAAAATAAGCCAATCCAAACACCCTTTATATTATAAAGAATCGACTCTGGTATAACAAGATTATTCTTTGTAGATGCCTCCGGCGGAATCGAAATAATATTTCTATGTCATGCATTACTTGCAAATATCATATTAAGACGCATGACACTATTAGCAATAATAGCAAGTGGTGTACCAACAACAATTTTATTGTGAAGTCACACACTTTAGATTTGATATACCTCTTCAAATAACTTAAATAACCATCACAAATTTAAGGAATATCCTTTTAAATTTGTGTGAAAATAATTCTTAGTATGTTTATGTTTTGCAAATATAATAAATAAAGGACAAGGACAAACATCCTAATTATTGAGCTATATTTACCGGAATATATTTTCTTGCACGAACAATTGTATGTTGCCCTTTCAAGAGGGATATCAAGATCGACAACAAGAGTTCTGGTTAAGGCAAAGCAACCAAAGCATTAGGAGGAAACATATACAAATAAAAATTGTCCACAAAGAAGTGTTCGTTAAGATATCATCACATTAAATACTTTTAAACTATAATACATAATTATCTAACTAACATGACAAAATTGATCATTTGTGTAAGTTTTGATGGTGTTCTTTTATTTTAAATCCATGTATTATGCTAATGTAATACTCCCTCCGGTCCAAAATAAGTGATTTTTTGGCCTTTTTCTTGTGGTCCAAAATAAGTGATTTTTCCAGATTTCAAGAATGAATTAATTATTTTTTTTCCTACATTGTCCTTGGAGTAAATAGTGTTGGAATATGTGTTAGGAGTGTTTATGTGAGATAGTAAAGGTTAATATGGTCAATTCTATTGCTAATTAATGCTAAAAGGTGGATTTCTTAATCTGTGTGGAAAACATCCAAAAAAATCACTTATTTTGGACCGGAGGGAGTAATATTTTTTGGCATTTAGATGATTGTTATATTATTTAACATAAAATTTCTCTCATTAATTAAATTTTATTGTTCCTTCATATAAATAAATATTTGAATCATCACGTGCCATTACTAACGTGCAACGCACTTACTTTGTGTGTGGTGTTTGGCAATAATAAAAAGTGTTTAAAAGCACTTACTCTTAGGCATAAATACAAGCGGGAGAAACAGTTCCTTTTGCCATATCTCTCTTTTTTTGTTGTTCGAATCCTGTTTACTGGAGTCAAGTATAATGGATCTAATATTTTTCTTTTTTCTTGGTTGCAGTACAATGAACGAGTTGGTTGACAAATTCAACACTGCATATGAGCGGCATAGTAGGAGGGGTGGTAGAACTGCTTTTATCTGAAAGTTGATATATCTCCAGTATTGCCTTTTTGCGCTATGTCTTTCCTGCTATAGTTGCAGCATCTGCGAATTTTGGTATCCCATTCATGAAAATTTAGTAGCTTTGTTTTTCTTTTGCCTCCCTTTAGTGTTAGCCTGCCCATCTTCTTTGATTCTTGTGGTGCAATCATAGATATAGTAGAAAATGACAGGATTTTGGGGACAGAAGCTTTTATTTTTGGAGAACATGTGTGGTAATGTTAAGGGGAAAGGGTAAGAAGTGCTTGTGTACTATACGAAATTGAGCAAGTTTACCCTCCGTTATACTTTGTCGCTGAAAAGTCCCAAATCTACCGTTCCTACTAACGGTCCTTCAGCTGGGATTGAAACAATTTTCTTTTTGCTGACTGGCTGCCAGTATGGACCATTTTTTTTTGTTAGTTTTACCCTTTGTCTTCTAAGCTTCACTTTTCTCTAAATGTTTACTTTTTCAATATTTTCAAAAAAAACAAAGGAAAATAATAAAAGAATGGTCTCTGTTCTGTTCCTATTTTCTAAGTAGAAAGGCAGAGAACATGGTTACCATCCAACATGCACTATTGTTGCCCGCCCTTGGTCTCAGCGTGAGACATGAGAAAAAATAAAACGTGTCTCTCCCTATTTGTGTAAGCTTTGGCGGGCAAAATTACCCGATACTTGTGCTAGTGAAAAGTAGTAGGTATTCAGTGGAATTAGAGATATGCACAAGCTGGACTGGACATGTGGTGGAATTAGAGATATGCACAAGCTGGACTGGACATGTGGTTGGCCACGGGAGAAATTTAAAAATAGCCAGATTTACAACTGGTCGTTCAAAAATAGCCCAGTTTCAAAAATAGCCCAGATTTAGTCACTTTTCATGTAAAGATAAATCTGAGCGAAAACACTGTTCAAAACCCGAAAAATATGCCAGCATATTATACCGGAGTTCCAGCATACTTATGCTGGAACTCCAGCATAATATGATGGAGTTCCAGCATAAGTACACTAGAACTCCAGCATAATATGATGGAGTTCCAGCAAGTATAATTGTCCAGTATAATATACTGGAGTTTGGAGCACCGGTGCTCCAGTCTCCAGTATATTATACTGGAGTCAGCAAAGTATACCGGTCTAGCATAATATGCTGGAGTTCATACATAGGTGCACCGAACTCCAGTATATTGTGCTGGACCGGTCTCTGTTGCAGCAAAATAGTGGCTATTTTTCATTGACTTCATAAACGATGACTATTTTTGAATAACCAGTCTGAAAACTGACTATACCGTGCTATTTTTACGTTGGCCACCCTTGGTGAAAATATTAGATATCTATTTCTTGACTCTTCAAACTAGCAGTGCTAATGTTTTCAAATCTAAAAAGCTTTGCTTTTTTTGAATGCTGAAAAGCCCCAAATTACAATTTTCCAATGTGAATTTTACAACCAGAAAGCAAAGTTTACAAAAAGCAACATGGACATGTCCCTCACGTAAATGTACTCCTCCCATCTCATTTTATGTCAAGGTGATGGACTGGAGACGGTATTTGAAAATTAAAAGAAAAAAAGATTTTTAATACTAATGAACGTTAAATATGTCTATAAAAGCTTGTCTTTAATAGCAGTAGAGAATATAAAGTTAAACTATCCAAATATAAGAAGGTATCGTTCTTTTTTCAACAGAACAATGAAAATGTCACATAAAAATGAAACATTCGACGAGGGTGCTAGTTTTGGTACAAAAACCCCATAGTTATGAATTATGATTGGCATTGCCCTTATTAGATTACATGAATCAAAATATGTATTAATACACAACACAAAACTAGGATTTCACTTGCCATAGGACTTTGATCGTAAATCCGAAGACACGAGCTGAAGCAGACAACAGCATGATTTTCAAATTAGACCGATAATTCAGTTTTCGATACGAGGATGCCATCACTATCTGCATATAACCATTCTCCTTCACGAATCAACATCCCTCCAATATAAACAGGAACATGTTTTTCACCATGGCCTTTCTTGCTCGATTTCTGAGGGTGCGATGCCAATGCACGAACCCCAATGTCACAGCCATTAATCTCGTCTACATCTCGAATGCAGCCATTAACTACAATACCTGCCCAACCCATATTCTGTGCTAATTGTCCTAAGTTCCCGCCTACTAGAGCACATCGCATGCTACCTCCACCATCTATAACCAGAACTCGTCCTTCGCCTCTAGTTTCAAGAAGCTCCCTGACTAACACATTGTCCTCAAACACCTTAAGGGTTGTAATGGGGCCAGAGAAAGCTCGACTTTGCCCGTATAGCTGGAAGATAGGTGGCAAAACTCGTAGATCGCCATTTGACAGAAGCCCTGCATTTACATCACAAACTTCTGCTGTTGCCAAGGATGCCATGTATTCTCCTGGAAGCACAAGTAGTATAAATGTTAGAAATTGAACTAGTTCCTCTTTTTCCTCAGAATTTATCTATCATGTTTCCATGTGGCTGGGATCCAAACACCACCCATTGTATACCAAATGTAGAGGCGAAGCCAGGATTTTAACTTAATGGATTCTGAGTTTAAGAACGATGACTTCAAGTGCTAATAACTGGTTTCCAAATTTAATATTTGTTCATATTTAATGAATTTCTTAACACAAATACATTGTTTGAGCAGGAGCTGTTGGGTTAAATTAAACCCGTATTCGAGCCTCTAGCTTTGCCCCTGACCAAATGACACAAACATTTACATTTGAAATTTCAATGCAATCGACGCTATTATAACTTATTTGCCAGCTTGAAGAACAAAGATCAGAAGGACGAATCTTCTAAACTCTCTAACAACTAAATTCGATCTTGATTACAAATTTATGAATCCACTAAGTAGGAGCCACAAAGATATTGAAGCCATGTGTAAATTCTTCATGTAAATCATCCATAAGTTGCCAGAAGTCATAAATTTTGGCATACAAGAACAGCAATAAAGAAAGGCAGTTGGAACAAGAGAATCAGTAATTTGGCATAAAACCATGGAGCCTAAACAATGAGGCAAAAGCAAAACTTCAAAATGAGAAGGCAGTAGACATGATTGGAATGTTGAATATGGTCAAAAGATTAGAGCAACCAGGAATTTGTAAATATTGGGAATAAGGGACTCATAAAAATTATATCTTGAATCAAGAACCATGGTAAATCTATGCTAAATCTACCATGAAATCAGCTTCCTAAACTCCCTTCCCATTCCCTCATATCTTTTGAAATTGCATGACACTTACTCAGGACAATGTGAAACAAAACTAGATCAAATCTTTAGGTCCAAAGTGAAAACTACAGTTGATTAATACTCCTATAACACAAGATTCTAAATGTGGAATACCATCAAGAGATTTAATTTCTATGGTATTTTGCAAGATATATCATGTCTACTCAATATAGATTTCTGATGAGACTAAATAAGGGTACTATCTTACTCAAACATTATACAAGCAATATAAGCGTACCATGCAAGAAATGCTACGGAAGGGGAGCCTTGGAGCAACCGTCAAGTTGTCTCCGTGTGATCTATAGGTCACGGGTTCGAGCCGTGGAATAAGCCACTGATCAGGATAGGTTGCCTACATCACACCCCTTTGGGGTGCGGCCTTTCCCTAAACCCTGCGTGAACACGGGATGCTTTGTGCACCGGGCTGCCAAGCAAGAAGTGCTACGACACTGTAACCTTCTCCTTTCTTTGAAATTATGGTACTGGGTTTCTATACAAGAGAAAAACCCCATCAAAGAGACACTCCATTAAGAAAACAGAATCGTCATTTGGCTGTAAAAGTGAGCATTTTTTGGGTCTTCTATACCTGCATACTTATCCAGCACGCAAAAAATAAATATCTTTTTAGCCTTTCAAATTTGGTGCAAAATAAGTGTCATATTAAGAATCAAGCACCCATTAATAAAAAAATTTCAAAATCTCCCCTACTCTAATAAATGATCTATGCAACATTCTAAGACGTCTTTCCATAATTATTTACATTTATTAGGAGTAGATAAAGGATAATTTAGTCAAATAACCTTAATAACTAGCTTTCGCTGATTTTCTTAATGGGTGACTTAAAGCTTTAAAAGACACTTATCTTGGACCGGAGGAACACTATTCTTTTCACCATAAGCAAAGGCAGAATCAGGATTTGAAGTTTATGGGTTCTGAACTTGGTAATGAACCCATAGCTCATTTTAGTTATTGGGTTCGCTATTAGATATTTACCCATATTTAACGGATATCCTAATACTAATACATGATTTAAGCAAAAACTACTGGGTTCGTCCGAATCCATACCTGATATTGTAGCTCCGCCTCTGAGCAACACACACACATAAGAATAACAATTATAGTTCTAAAATGCTACTCTATGTAACTCATTTCAAAGACGACGACAAATACCACCAAAGGATGTGGTGCAGCGGATGGGGCTGCTCTTCCCTTAACCAGAGGTCTCGGGTTTGAGACTTGGGTATGAAAAAATTCTTGGTAGGGAGCGCTTCCCCCCGAATAGGGCCTTACGCAGCGCGAATCCGAATATAATCAGACTCGAATAACCAAAAGAAAAAAAGACAGACTACAAACAGTGACAGTAACAAGTCGGAATGCAGGCTCAAATCCCACCACAAGCATCAAAGAAGATGGAATATTTCCTTTATTAAACAATTGAGAGTGTGAGGTGGAACATGTTGTTTGTTAATTCAACAAGTAACACATAGTAACAACAACGACGACCAAGTAAAATCCCATTAATGGACAAGTACAGATAGTAGTAAGTAGTTAATCAGTCAGCCACCGCAACTATTTCAGATTCCAACCTCTACCCAAGTTTGGTTTGTTTAATGCAAATTCACAGCACGAGAATTAACTAAAAAATAAAGATGATTATATCTATGCATACCCTTTAAAAAAACGAAGAAAAAGGAAAACTTTACCTTGATCAGTACGAATAGTACTACTTTGTATATGAGCTTTATCGAATTCCGAAAATGGAGCTTCTGCTGGATTGTGGCGTATAGCAAATTTCGAAGGCGATCTAATCTATATATATGTATATATACACTTGAAACTCGTAAAATTAATTAAGGTACACAAATTGATCCGACAATTTTAATAAATGAATTATTGTCGGCATTGTTTATATCAGACCGTTCATACTTCATAGGATGACGGCATCTCATCTTCTAGGTCGTTGTGCCATGTCGCTGAAATAGTTGGATACTATGGCTATTTTTTTTTAATTCTTTTTCTTCTTCTTTTTTCAAATTGCTTTTATTTAAAATAAAGAAATTTAGAACCGCAGCCGAAGAGAGTGGAAAGGAAAAAGAAATAAAATACTTAAGAGGCAAGCATAGCCACGAATACTAGTGGCCTATCTTCCAGTGGAAATTATAAGGGTGTGTTTGGTTTCAATATTTTATTTTTTGTTTTTGTTTTTGAAAAATGAGTGATGGTCTTACTTATTTATTGGAGTTTAGTAAGTAAAATAAAAAATATTATCTTAAAAATATTTATATAGTATAAACAAATATAGTGGGTGTGAGAGGCGGGGGTCGGGTGGTTTCGATGGACAGAGATAAATACAAAATTTAAACTCTATGAGTGTATGGGTCAAAATCTGACCCATACACGAAACCAATCTGGGTCAGATCTTTACGTGAAATCGAAATTAGGTCCGATGTCTAGCAAAACCCACGCCTCGCCTGTAGCGACAGGTTCGGATCGTCGTGTGACTACTTAAAGTGGGATTACGGTCACTACGCATTTAGCATACACCCAACCCTACTTGCCGTATTAACGTTATGCCGGTCTATACTTCCACCTCTTAAGAAGGGACGATCGCCTACTATATGATTCTTTGAAATAACCGGCTCATCCTGCTTTATTCTTGTATCCGCGTGCACAATTGTAATTTATGTACAAGGTATATCACGTTCCCCTCATTATCTGCGCACATCGGACGGGGTCGAACGGGGACTCGAGCTCGAGATCCCAACGGGCAGGGTAAGTTCAGCCCATGAGAAGCCTAGACGCGATTAACGGCGAAGCCAAACATAGGGCTGCCGAATTTGAAACCATCATTCAAGTGCGGGATGGAACGGGTCGCCTTACAGTGCCCCCTCCCCCTTCGCCGACTCACTAGACCAAGGTATCAGGCAAGTTCGTTTGGACGTAACTTGTCGTTTTTCTCTTTTGTATTCAAACGCATGGAATACGAGCATTCTCACAGGTACACGAACAAGGAACAAACGCCGCCGAAAGCACCAAGCAAAACCCCTCGTACCACATCGTATCGCAAATAACAGACAAACGGCTCAAAACAAGCTGATATTGTTAAGAAAATCTCCATGAGCTGGGACTAAGCGGTGAGCCCGTTGAGCGCACAGTCCCTCTGACGCGAGCAGAACTTGAACTCGAAAAGCTTGCACGAATATTCGCCATGACAACCTTACGCCAAGTCAACCGACTAAATATCGCCAATCACGTCTGAACTTCGTTTAGTCCCAGGGTACCCAGAAGCCCAAGCAATAGGTTCATAGCTCGTCCTAATCACGACCTCTCCAGGTCGAGCAAAGAGGATTAGGTAAAGTGGGACTCCACCGACACATACGCACCGCAACGTCGCATAGCGTTCTCCAATGAAAACAAAATCAAACAAACCAGGACTCATCCCGCGCGCAGTACTCTCCAATGAAAACCAAATTAAACAGACCGGGACTCGCCCCAACGCACACAAACAATACAGCAATGTGTAACGACCTGACCGGTCGTTTGCCTTTTAGGAACCCCGTTCCCCCAAATAAAACTCTCCGTGCTCGCTTTAACTAATTTACGACCTGCGGGTATGGTTGGTTCGGGATTTAGAAGAGTTTGGATTGAAATATGCACATTTGACTCTTTAGGATTTTCTTAAAAGGCTAAGTTTGACTTTGGTCAATATTTTGGGCAAACGGGCCCGGATTCGTATTTTGACGGTTTCGGAGGGTGCGCAGGAAAATATGGGACCTGAGCGTATGCCCGAAATCGAATTCCGAGGTCCCTAGCCCGAGTAATGAATTTTTATTAGAAATTATTAATCTGAAATATTAAGGATTTAAAGAAACTAACTAATGATCGATTTCATGGGTATCGGGCTCGTATGTTGGTTCCGAAGCCCAGTACAGGTCCGAAATATCTGTTAAGACCTACCCGCAAAATTTGGTGTTAATCCGAGTGTTTTAGGGAATTTTGGCTCGTTGGAGGAAAATTAAGAACTTGAAGTTCATAAGTTTGATTCATTTGATTTTAGGGGGTCATTCTTAGATTTAGCGTTGCTTCGGGCGTTCCGAAGGTTCGAGTAGGTCCGTCTCGTAATTTCAGACTTGTCGGTATGTTCGGGCGGGGCCCGGGAGTCCCGAGCGTCAATCGGACGAGGCTCGAGTGAAATTGAAATTTTTGAGAAGTGCTGAAGCTGTTGCTTCTGTCATAACCGCACCTGCGTTGGTGGACCTCAGGTGCGAGACCGCATATGCGCCCCCAGGGAAGGCCAGGCCAAACCGCAGAAGCGGCTCTCGAACCGCATAAGCGGTTCCGCAGAAGCGGCCTTAGGACCGCAAAAGCGGTCCCAGCCCTTTTAGCCCATTTCGCAGATGCGGTCTTTTTCTTGCAGATGCGGTCCCCTGACCGCAGATGCAGAAATCGCTGAGGCAGTGAGTTCATTTATTACGGGCTCCAAGTCCATTTTTGCCATATTTCACTACTCCATTGGGCGATTTTGGGAGCTTTTGAGAGAGGGCTTCTACTTGGCATCTTGAGGTAAGCTTATCCCACCCATTCTTAGTTTAACACTCGTGTTTAGGTAGATTAAACACTAGGATTTAAGGTAAAATCATGGGGTTAGAGCTAGACCTAGGGTTTTAATAAAACTTAGATTTTTCCATGAAATTGGTTATGAAATGAATTAGAAATCATATATTATTGATCCTTAGGTTGTAGAGAACAACTTCCTTTGCAAAATTTCGGAATCTGGGCATGTGGGCCCGGGGTCGGATTTTGGGAAACTCGTGTTAAGGGTTGGGAAATTGCTTAAATAGCTAGAATATGATCTTGTGAGCTTATATTGATTAGTTCCTACTTCATTCAACTAGTTTTGGATCGTTCGGCTCCAAATTGAGGGTTTGGGCTCGTTCTTGCCATTGGAAGTATACTTTGGAGCGAGGTGAGTCTCCTTTCTAACCTTGTAAGAGGGAATTGTCCCCATAGGTATAATAATTGAGTAATTTGCTATTAAATGCGGGGGCTACGTACGCACTAGGTGACGAGAGTCCGTGCGTAGCTACTATTATGTTAATTGTCCGGGTATTCTAGGGCCCGTATCATGCTATATTTGTAACTGTCTCCATATTTTCTTGCTAATGTGATCACTTAGGATATGCTAGACACTTGAAAAAGAAATAAGCGAATGTATACACTTGTTGGACACTTGTATGAATTTACTTGGAAATAAATGCGCATTCATGTATTTTCTTGAAATAAATTGATATTTGTGGATCGAGCCGATCGCCTCGGTAGAAATAGATGCATCTATGGTTCGGGCCATTCGACCCTCTGGCAGTGCACAGTTATTTTTCTATTGGATCGGGCCGTCGACCTCGGCATAATGTGCGCATGAGACTTATGTATATGTGAAATCTTATCCATGACTTGTTCTGCTAAATACTTGAAATGTGTACGGTTAACTGTAAATTGTTAAGGACATGACTTATTGCCTCTTGCTGCATGCTGTTGATTATTTGTAACTATCCTGCCTAGCAGAACACTTTATTATATTATTTGACCCTAGTAAGTGTCAAGTCGACCTCTCGTCTCTACTTCTTCGAGATTAGACGGGATACTTACTGGGTACATATTGTTTATGTACTCATACTACACTTCTGTACTTAATTGTACAGGATCTGAGGCAGGTACATCTGGCTATCAGTTTGGTGCGCACCCCTGATTCACAGCTTGAGACTTCCACGGTGAGCTGCTCCCTTCCTGAGACGTTCGGCAGCTTGATGGAGTCTTTTCCTTACTTTGCTGTCTATTCTATCTCAGACAGTAGGATATTTTATTATTTTGTATATCCTACTAGTTGCCCATTACTTGTGACACCAGGTCTTGGCACACACATTAGTAGACTATCATTTTGGGGATTGTATAATTATTTTGGCATATTATTGTTCATTTCTGATTTGATTTGAGCTTTATGAATTTCTATACTTACTTTGGGTAAAAATAACACTGAGAACTAAGTTACATTTTCCGCGTTGGCTTGCCCGATAATGGTGTTGGGTGCCATCACGATCTATTTTTGAAAATGGATCGTGACGACATGGTATCAGAGCACTAGGTTCACATAGGTCTCACAAGTCATGGGCAAACCTAATAGAGTCTTGCGGATCGGTACAGAGACGTCTGTATTTATCTTTAAGAGGCTATAGGGTTTTAGGAAAACTACTCCTTATTCATTTCCTCTCGTGCAGTGGTCACTATACTAAGTTCCTTCTTTACTCTCTCACAGATGGTAAGGACGCGCATGGCTGATGTTCCGGACCCGGGAGGGGCTTCTCCCCCCGCTACTAGAGGCCGAGGCAGAGGCCGGGGGAGGGCACCGGCCCGAGGTAGGGGACGAGGGCGTCCCAGAGCTGTCCAAGTAGCACCACCAGCAGATCCTGATGAGACCCTATTATTGAGGAGCAGGGCGAGGTGCCCGCAGCCGAGCCTACCGCGGCGGATTTTATGACAACATCGGGCTTCTCGGAGGTCATGGGCCGTATGCTGCGGTTCATGGACACTATGACTCAGGTTGGAGTATTTCCAGTAGATCCAGCTACATCATAGGTAGGAGGGGGAGCACAGACCCCTACTCCTATCACAGGTTCTGGGCAGACCAGCCGGTTCTCCTCCTATCACTTGGAGTCAGTTCACACAGTTGTTTCTGGACAGGTATATTCCACCCTCTGAGAGGGAAGAGCTGCGGTATCAGTTTGAGCAGCTGGAGCAGGGTCAGATGTCCATGACTGATTATGAGGCGAGGTTTCCTGAGCTATCCCGCCATGCATTGATGATACTTCCTACTGACGGAGAGAGAGTGCGGAGGTTTGTTGCAGGGTTGCATTCTGGCATCAGGGCCAACATGGCCCGAGAGGTGGAGATGGGGACTCCTTATCAGTTAGTAGTGGAGATTGCTCGGAGGATTGAGGGCTACCATTCGAGGGGTAGGGATCAGATGCAGGATAAGAGG